AAAAGTTTAATTAAAACTTTACTTAATTTACTTAAAAGTCTATTAAAAGTAAAAAAGTCTTTTCAACCTTAATAATCGTATAAACAAGGATTTTTTTTTTAATTGATTGGTTTCATAAAAGATATGAGTTTAATTTATTACTTTGTTTGCGGTTATGATATTTTAATTCCGACCAAATTGACCTGAAATTTAATTCTGAATGAGGTTGGTCCTTCACCTGTTATTTTAATTATTTTGGGATATGTTTTTATTTGGGAAAAAACCACAAAAAAATGAAATTATTGGTCCTAATAAACACATTTAGTGACTTCACCATCGTAATTCGGTTGCATGATTCAATTATTAGTCTGATTAAGTGTACTTTTTTTGGTTTCTTTTTATTTATTTATTTTTTTTATTTGGAGATCACAGATAAGAGGCACTCCGTAAGAAAACAAAATAATTTAAAACATGAAAAATTCAATTTAAGCTGTAAAGTTTTAATGAAATTAACGCAAGGGCCGATACACTGTGGTCTAAATTTGTAATCAAAATTATTTGTTCATTATCTTATATCATTTCAAATTGTTCTGGGCAATAGCCGTTCCTAATTAAGCAATTATAACAAATTTTAAGTCAGTTTCCACCACTTTGGACTTCGATGGAATTGATGGTAGCTACATGCCAATAAGTCAAAAAACTTTTCAACGACATAACTCTGCATAATTCAGTACACATCACATTTCCTTGTCGGATCCAACATCACTAATTTTGCGAATATGTTTCAACACCAAACCAATCCTTTATGATAATTCCACATACAGAGTACTCTATAGTGTTATACAAAGTATTCCACGTATGATTGCGTTCGATTTATTTGAGGTTGGTAGTAAAGTAGTGGATATTGCTGTTCCGTTGTGTTAGATATGAAGGGATATTTTCTAGGTACATTGTTTTGTCATATTGTAGGGGATCATAAATCATGTATAAAAGGTTTAAGTAGACCCCTACTATCCGTGCAAAAAGTCAAGGCCCCTCACTTTAGACATCGATATCTTCCTAACCGCTCGAAGGAAAAAATTGCGGTACAGTTTATTGTAATCAGTGAACATTTCTGCGTATAACACGTTAATTTGGAAATTTTCGGATGCGCAGTTTTTCTTTTAAGTGAAAAAAGTACCCGATTTTGTGCCAACAACTTTGTCTACTTTGCGATTTTTTGTGCGTTCTAGACAGGACGTCGCGCCTTATTTCTTTATGTAGGTAAGATAAAGGCGCGACGTACTGTCTGGGACGCACGATCTGTTCCGATTGGACAGAACCCTCCTCTCCCCGCATAACTTATTTCTGTTTCTCTTTAATTTGTAATGCCATTTAATCGCTCTTAAAAAATTAGGGAGCTTTAATTTTGAAAAACTGATAACGGAATCTGACAACCAACATTATTTGGCATATTATGGTCAAATCCGCGAGGAAATCCACCCATCCGTTTTCGACATAACGGCGTCTTACTAAACCGCGATTTTCCGTGAAAATGTATGGAATATCGAAAAAATAAAATATGCCACTCATTACGAACACATCAGGCTACCACCTGTTCAAAATTAAAATTTTTTCGTACGATTGTTTTCGAGAAAAAAAATCGCAAAGTTGACAAAGTTGCCGGTACCGTAAAAAATCGGGTACTTTTTTCATTTAACTCGCGATAAAAAGACCCAACCCAACCGTGGATTCGAAAACTTTCAAATTAACATATATTACGTAGAAATGTTCAGTGATTACAACAAACTTTGTCGCAATTTTTTTTATCGAGTGGTTCCGAAGATATCGATCTGTAAAATGAGGGTCCTTGACTTTTCTTCTAGCTGTCTAGCTTCTAGCATCTTTTATGCTACATGTTACAAAATTACAAAGTCGTTGACAAAAATATCCTCTCTGTTGTATCTTCGCACGCATTTTCCATGATTTCTTCTTTGTCTGGCTTCCAGTTCATGGAAATGTTATTCTAATAGCTGCATAATCCAAGATTAGGTTTATGTCTCTTTCTATGTCAGCTTATTGTTTTCAAGTTATTTTTTATTCCATGTCTGTTAGTTTTTCATCGATTTCCATCACTTATTTTTTAATACAAATTGGATTTTCAGTTTTCGTTTACTTTATAGGCAGCCCCATATTGGTTGGGTTCGATTGGATTGGTTGGGGTTGGGTTATAATCCTTTATGCCGCTCCTACATCTAAAGGGACAATGAGCCTGGCAGCTAATAATGAGCATGAAAGCATGGATAAATAAATATGGACTACTGTCACCCAGGCATTTACGGGTCATGAGGTATTCGGGATTTATTTAAAGAGATACAAAAGGCTGAAATGGATGAGTGCTGGTATTGTCAGCTACGAGATACACTCTTTGACTGTCGGGAATTTAATGCTGCAAGAAAAAAAACTGAAGACACATGCAGGTGCAGATTGCGAAAAGAAAGTATAGTTTTACTGATGCTGGAAGCGGAGGAAAAATGGAACCGTGTGACCGACTATTTGAGGGAGATAATTAGGAAAAGGGAACGCGATGAAAAGTTGCGACAAAACACTTCGAAGCAACGCCCTTCCAGCGGTACCACACGCACGGCCAAAGCGCAGAAGATTTCCACCAACTTCAAGTCCTCTGCACCAAAAAAAGGTTTGTGATGCGTTGAGTTGCATTGGGTTGGGTTGTGTTGGGTTTGGTTAGATTGACTACAAATTAACTACTTGTGCTGTACAAGTGAGTCAATAAGCGAGGAGATTATAGGATAATGTCGGACCTGATAAAGATGTTAAGGAGAAATATAGAGTATAACACGAAAAGGGAAATTAAAGATGCATTGGGTAAACCCCAACGATTGGCGGAAGTTATAGGAAGAACGAAGATTGAGGAATCCATAAGGAGCAAAGTAGACGCCAAGCAATCTGAAAGGGGGGAAAGAAATGTGCACTGAGGACACATAAACCCTAACAGAGAAAAGTGGGGAAACAAGATGATGAAATACAGAAGGCGACTACATACGAAGACTGGAAAAGTTTTAAGCAAACTCGATTGGGCAGAAATCAGCTAAAAGAAAAGTGATAATGGTCGAAGCAACATAAGAAGTTCTACTGAGTTATCTCAGAAGCAGTAAAAACCTTGAAAGAATAGACACATCAAGAAAAATGTACATCCATAAAGAAAATGGTAGAAATAATAGTCAGGCCAATAGCAACTAGAGTCGAAATCTAGTAGGAAGAAAGGATACAAGAAAGCAAATGAAAAATCTACGAGGAAACTGGTATGGAAACAAAAAGAAGAGTATAAAATTATATAGATAATTTCGTATCTATAAAGATGGACTATCTTGCTTTACATTTGTGAACGGATATGATTACTTTTTCTGCATCTTCATCATTTCCGTAATCCTCGGCAGATGATGGTTAGTGCTTTGTGTCATAACGTTACTTTTAGGAGTTAATCTTCAGATCATCAGATTGCAAGAGTCCATACATAACTCAACTTTCCATTAATAGTCCTTCCTTTTTTGTTAGCGGAACTAGTTCTTTCTACTCTTGGTGTTTCTGCCGCAATATTGTTCTAACACGTAAATACAACATTTCCATTCCTTCATACAAGAATCGTTTGGTACGTTTTTCTGGTCACTTAACATACTTCAGAGTGGATCAGAAAATAATATAATATAAATACCTTCCTTATGGTGTCAAATTGCTACAAATTACTGGGTTAGGTTGGGTTGAGTTGGGTTGGTGCTATAAACTTCTGCACCAATTTGAACCTACAAAAGGGGCAGAAAGGTGTATCATAAACATTTTCACAGACAGTTGGACCACCCTAAAGGCAATTCAGGGCTACACATGTGATTCTGCACTGATCACAGAGTGTACTAGCAAGCTGAGAGAACTCGTTAGGGGCAATGATGTTACTCTATGGTGGGTTTCAGGTCATAGAGACATTGAGGGTAATGCGAAGGCGGACAAGATGGCCAAATAGGCAACGAAAACGCCCTAAAAAAGCCACCAGGATTTTTTGACACCTACCTACGTAAAGGAACAAGACCTTGGAGCAATACTAAGGTTCATTAAGGACCTACATTTGCCCTAAAGTTTTAGAGGGCTACCCGCTCTAGCGACCCTCAGCCCCACAGCAAGAATAATAATAGGTTAGGTTGGGCTGAGTCCACCTATGACGATTAAAAGATTTGATTTCCTTTTCTATATTTTGAACCCATCTCCAATGAAGTACACGTCACACTATTCTTTGGATTTAATGTGTCATATGTTTACTCTCAGCCTAATTTGTACAGTGTACGCCATCTTAGTTAACCATGCCGTAAAGCAGCATGTAATTTTTCAGTTTTTCACTTCTGTAGAAATCTTTGCAGACGTTCCAACAAAACATATGATTTTCATGTTTTTGAAAAACTTATTCCATCATCAAATTAGTCTTTACTTATTTTGCAAAAACCGGTATAAAGTTGTGGTAAATTTTTGCCATATCAGACTAATTATACATATAAGAATGAATGTAAATATAAATAAGTTTTAATTTTTGATTAAATTTTTAGACCACAGTGCGACATCTATTGGGCAAAATCCCACTCGTTAATTTAAATAGTACAAAGAACTCTGTTCGGCGTAATTTCATTTTCAAAAATTTTTTGTCAAGAAGATAATTTTTATTTTGGACCCTATTAATCTACGAATAGTTTTTTACGTTCGTAATAAGCAGACGAATGATTTATATTTGTTTAGTTCAAATTCAGAAGTCGCGTTATCAATTAGATATTAATTTAATAAATAGCTAGGTATGTATATTTTTTGTTGTGATAGAATTGCACCTAAAAAGTATTAATGTGTTTTGTGTATGTATAATTTTTATAATTTCATATTTTAAATAGTATTAAATATAAAGTGCTTTTTTTGTTGTTGTTTTTTTTAAACATTTCATTATTATAATACAAAATTCGTGTTTATTTTTAAATTTTATACAGAGAGGAATTAATTAATTAAAAATATATTCGTTTAAGGTTTTTTATGCTTTTTTTAAAAAAGGGGGTTAATCTTTTTAGCTTTGTTAATCGATGAATCTTTACGTATATCACAATTAGATATATTAGATTTTTTTTTAATAATAAATTATTTTAAATCTAGAATTACTACGTCTAAAATTATTGGAGATACAATTACAACGACGTAAGGATAAAAATAGATTGTCTCTATTAAAAGTAAATATTCATCGATTATTTTTTTTTGTTAACCCGTCTTTTTAATTTATTAATGACACTGTTTGTTAATATCAATTCAACAAGTCAATATTTCCCTAAGATTAGATAGAAAAAATTAATCGAAAAAACGAAACGCCCTACGCGGTCTTTTGTATAATAAAGAGGCACAATCTATACAATATTGTAGAATAGTCGTTTTTTTCCTAGAAACTTTTAAACCTACAATTTTTTTTTAAATATTTATATTTTTGGTTACTTCGTACGATATAGTGTGCCCAATTTACCATGATAAGTTTTACCCTTAATACTAAATATGTAAATCTATATTGACTACCATTACAAAAAGAAATTGTGACGCAGTTCGTTTGGAGGCGTTAAATTATGATTTGTATTTTTGATGAATTTGAGTACATTATCGAGTGCACGTTTAAATAACACATTTTGGAAGACACTACTTTTTATTTTTAGAATTGCTTTTTATTTACATCATTGAAATATATTTTTTGTAAAGCACTGTTTGTTAATTGCACTGCCCAACACAATTTATTTTTCTCATACACCATTACGTGTAGTTTATGTTGTTTAAATTTGTTCCATCACGTCAGGATTTTGAGAAATTCTTTTAAATAGCTTTTTTAAAAGTATATTAAATTTTACAGAATTTTAAAGCAACTTTTTTTTAAAAAATATTACAAGATATATTCCCAACGACACTATTTGGTCTTAAAATTAAAAATCAAGACCAGGAATGCTGTTACTCTGAGAACAGCGCTATGCCACTTGCAAGACCTATGATTTGGCATGAACAAACGGATCATTTGTCTAATTGCTACTTTTGCTGCATGAAAACTTTGGGGTTCTCCAACAAAAATAAGAAAAAGATTAGTTACGATAGTGTCTTCTGCTACTCGTCCAGTACCTCATTCAGAAACCTTGCCAGTACCAAGACATATTAGGTGTGTTGAGCGAAGAATATGCCATTACAGAAGCAGAACAACAAATTTCCGAGTTATCGACCAAGGATGATGAATATTTGCCATCTCAAGAGGACGAACCTCACTTAGTAAATCAGTCAGAATTAAATGACTTTATTCGAGATATAAATTTGTCAAAATCTCAAGCAGAAATACTAGTACCAACATATTTCTGCGTAATTTTTTGTATGATTTTTGTTTTGCCATTAGAAAAAATACTGGATTGATGAAGCGAAACACTTTAACCAACTTATTAATGACGTTATTTAAGTCTGGCAACAGATGTGGGGAGGTCATGGTCATACTTTGCCTTCCTCTCCTACTTTATCTCCAAAATAGAGAAAATATAAGTTGTGGCAAAAGTTCCTCCCTAATTTGGAAGATAAACGGCAAGTCGTAACATGTTCATTCAAAAACGGGTAAAGGGGATGCAGTGGAAAGAAGTGATACATGATCGTGAGACGCGGTATGTCAGTGACGCTAAAGACCACAGTGGGAGTAGTCGATTGCTGCTTTTAGAGGAAGTGCACTGCGTCACATAAGATCTAAGTGAGTATTACTGCTTTGATTTTTTGTTTAAGTGTTTATGGTTATTTTTAATAAAGGTAGTTAGAAATCGGTGCCCAATTTCAAGAATTCACAATTTACAACTTTCTTGTGAAACTCCAATGGACGATTGCTTTAGTTTAGAAAATAACAAATCTTTCAAATTTTTCTTAAAACTTTAAGTTTTATTTCTTGAAAATCATATATATTATGAAATCGTTCGAATTTGTTTATCAAAATACGTTTGAATCATTTTTGACACTTTGCAAAGGCATCTGAGTCGCCGAACATAATGCGAGCCGTAGGGTTTAACAAACCACAACTAGATCTTTTTGTATGATAACTTGGAAAAACTGATGACACAATAGAAATTTCAACCTTGTGATGAAACTGGAGTGAACTGCGTGCATAAACATTAAAAAGTTCTTGCTCCGAAGGCTGTACGTCAAGTAGGAAAGCTTACTTCTGCCACTTCTGAAGTGGCCACTTCTGGCCACTTCATACCGCCATTTTTTGTATTTCCTAGGCAAAGGATGAATGATCGGCTCATGATTAATGCTCCAGCCGAAATCGTAGGCTCTCAAGATGAATAGTGATTTTTTCTTACAATGGTTGCAGCTATTGGCGATTGGTTGCAGTTGGTACTGTACTGTAAGGTACTGTTAGACGACCAGTGTAGCAATAAGACACTGGCGGTCATCAATTTTTGCCGAGAAAACAACATTTATTTGATAAGCATACCACCACACACCAGCCATAAACTACAACCACTAGACAGAACATTCATGAAGCCATTTAAGACTACCTACAACCAACAATGCGAGATGTGGATCAGAGCATCTCGTATAACCGACTACAATATTGCTGGTTTGGTCAATGAAGCGTTCACAAAAGTAGCTCGAGTAGATATTGCGATCTCTGGGTTCAAATATACAGGAATTCACCCATTCGACAGACATATATTTTCTGACCTGGGTTATTTGCCTGCAGACGTGACCAATATTCCACTAGAAGAGCCAGAAACTTTAAACGCACCAGGTTGCACCGGGGAAGATTCCGTGTATTCTACTGATTTGGCCTTTGCTGGTAGCTCATCAACTTTCTGAGCTGCAGAATTGTCTTACAAACAACTATCAGCAGTCCCAAGCCATCAAAGAACTTTGATCCAAATATTGTCCAGATTGTCCATAATTTATCCCCATTGCCCGATGCTTCCAAAAAACGGTCAGCGGCTCGGAGGAAAAAAAATGTGAAAAAAATTGAAATTCTAACATCATCACCGTACAAAATTGCCGTTGAAGAAAAAGAGAATGAAAAGAATGATAAAGACAAAAAGAAAAGGTTGGGAAAAAGGTTTAAAGCAGCAATAGGCGAGAAGTGGAAAAGCAAAGAAGGTAACATTGGAAGAACTATTTGCGTAGTGTGCTTAGAGGACCACAATGAAGACTGGATACAGTGCTCCAACTGTAGAGGGTGAGCTTATGAAGAATGTGCAGACATCCCTGAGTGTTCAGAGAGCTGTATATGCGATAGATGCAGGATGTTTTGAAAATGTCCGGTACTAGGTGCCGCTTGCAGTGATTGCAGTATTTGTTACCAAACTTTAACAAAGAGAAGAAATCTGAAATTTAGATTTGAAGCGTAGATCACCAACTACGCTTCATTCTTGGGATGCTGACATCCAACGGAATTTGTAGATTTCTGGCTGCGTGGATGAATATTTGCCATCTTAAGAGAACGAACCCCACTTAGTAAATCAGTCAGAATTAAATGACCTTATTCGAGATCTGAATTTGTCAAAATCTCAAGCAGAAATACTAGGATCTAGACTTCAAGGATGGAAGCTGTTAGCTCTAGGCACTCATATTTCCGTGTATCGTAATGGCCAGAAAGAACTGTCACAGTATTTTTTAATCAAAGAAGATTTTTCATTCTGCAATAATGTCGATGACTTGATGCTGACAATAATAAGCATAACCCAGAAGAATGGCGTCTTTTTATCGGTGCTTCGAAATTGAGTTTGAAAGCTGTTCTTCATGTAGAAAAACTTTATCCATCCAACCCGGTTGGCCACGGAGTCCATATAAAGGAAACTTATGAAAATATGACTCGTCCTCTAGACAAAATTAATTACAAAGTCTAAAATGGCATATCAGCGCTGACCTCAAAGTTGTAACCTCAAAATTCCTACTATGTTATTAAAGATTGGCCAGTCATAGCTCAGTGTTCCTGGACAAAAGAATATACTGCATAATGCATTGGTGTGCATAATATCGTGTCTAAAGTATATTGTTTGTAGCTCGCGATATGTAAGCAGTCGCTCAAGATCGAGGTTCAGTTCTTTTTATACTTCGGGTACAGAATAGTATGGTTTTGTTTGGTTAAGCTGAATCATAACAATTAATACCATATCAACCCAAAGCTGCTCAATACATTACAGCGCCTCGTTCGCAGCCGACCTTGGCTAAACATGATGCAAACACTCCGTGACATCGTCTGATTAAGTCTAAGGTTGGTTGTTGCTGACTACGTTGCTAAATATTGGTCAGTTAGGGTTCAGCATATTCCTGGACAAAAGAATATACTTCATAAGCCATTAGTGGAACCTAATAAAATATTTCTACTGCCATTGCACATAAAATTAGGTTTAATGAAGAATTTCGTCAAAGCAATGGATCAGAATGGTCGTGGATTTCAAATGCAAAACTTAAAGAGGGAATTTTTGTAGGATCCCAAATTAAACGTCTACAACAAGATGCACAATTTGAAGACACTTTAAATGACTTGGAACGTGGTGCTTGGAATGCTTTTAAGAGAGAGACCCAAAATTTTCTAGGAAACACAATTACATAGCAAATTTTAATGCAAACTTCTTAGAAGTTATCATAAACTGAGCTTTAATAGAGCCTTAAAATACATTTTTTACACTCGCACTTGGATTTCTTTTCCCAAGAAGAAGATTTCATCAAGACATTTCTGTTATTAAAAAACGTTATTAGGGCAACTGGAACAGTGAAATGTTAACTGATTATTGTAGAACATTGATATCAGAAAGTACTGAAGATTTTAAGACAGCACAATAGCATACAGTTAAAAAACCTGACGTGCCAGAATAAATTTGTTTTTATTGTTATTATTACGACTGCAAGAGAAAGTAAAACTACATGGTTACTTTTTAGATCGATAAAATCGTGGTGAACAGTGAATTCGATATTTTATTTTAGAATAAAAATTTGTTTGGTAAAACGTAAAATGTGAGTGAGAGAATAATCAATTTAAATCCTACAAGGGTTTAATTTTAAACAGACGAAATAATTTAATCCCAACAACGCGACCAATTGAATTCCGTTCATTGTTGTGATAGGTCGGTTTTCACCTCTAACGTATAATTCTCCAATAATATTTACCCATCGCGTCCCTACCTGTAGATAAATTTAACAAACCAAACATTGGTTGCAGTAATTAATTTTCTTTGATAAATTGATACCAACGTTATTAATACCTCATCTAAATCTAATATATTTGTGTCCAAAGAAGATTAACTATGTATATATAAACGTTGGAATGTAATATAATTCGACGCCTCCATCACCACCTACTCTTAACTTACTTAATTTACTTACAATAGTAATAACAATATTAATAATTGTATTTATTCGACGTTATTAAGGAAAAAAAAATGGAAAATTATTTCACCATCGATCGAATAGGCGAGCGTGTAACGTGTGTTATTGCTTGAAAAATACTACTTGACTGAAATCGATGATTTTTACAGGGACGAAGCGCGATTTCGGCGTAATCTCGTTTTCCACACAAAAATCTAAATTTCACTTCCATTTAAACGTCATCTTCAAGGCTCCTAATAGCCACTTGCTGCTTTTGAGCGAGGGCATTCAAAACGTAGGTTAAGGAATCCAGCTTTTTATCCATATTTCCCAACTGCAACAAAATAACAATCGCACAATGTAGCCAGATTTAACTCTTTAAAATCATTCAAGCAGAAATTTAATTTGAACCGAAGTAAATCGAGCAGGTAATATTAAGTCGTCGTGAATAATGTAAATCGATGAAGTTCGAAACCAATTATCATTTGAAACGAGAAATTTAATAATCTTATCTTATAAGAGTCTCAAGTTGACATAAAGGAATGTAAATAATTCAGTAAAAAATATGATTAATTTTCGAACTATTGTAATTATGTGAGCGTGTAGATTTGAAGCCATTAGTTATTCATTATTGGGAATAATTGATTATATCGAAACGAACATATGTGGGTTTTGAGTTTCATTGATTGGAACTTTATAAATTATTAACGAAAAATAGTGATGTGTTTTTTTTTTTTTGGATTCCTTATTAAATTTATTTTTCTGGAAACTGCTTTATAAAACAAATAAGATAAAGGAATATATGTATATTATGTATCTAAAAAATTCAAGAACTAAAATAAAAAAGCATTCCGAAGTAAGATTTAGAAAAAATGGATGGACTTTGCTGATTATAGCGGTGAAGAAGACAATGAGGAATTAATTGGGAACGATGAAAGAAGATAAAAAAGTTAATGAGCATACTTTCCAGAATATTCTCAAGGATACATTAGGGATGAGAGTCTAAAAACCAAATTCACAGTTCTTCTTGTTGACATGTTGGGTTGAGTTTAATTTTTTTTTGTACGATTTTTGTTTTGCCACAAGAAAAGTAGTTGATTGATAAGGCGAAATACTTTAACCAACTTGACTCATCATACTTTGTCTTGCACTCCAACTTTATCTCTAAAATAGGAAAAGTATAAGTTCTGGTAAAACTTCCCCCCTAATTTGGAAGATAAAGAACGTATATTATGTATTTTATATAAAGTGTTATGCCCAAATATTGCTGCAAGCGAAATCTGAAATTTTAAATAAGCATTTAGTCTGATAAATGTCAGGACGCCTGTTCTTGATTCTTATTCCTTGGATGCTGACATTCAACTTTTATAACATCTCCTCAGGGGTCTATCTGGAGACCTTGCTTTGTTTGGTCTGAATTTGTTGTAGATTTTGATCTAATCATCACCTATTCTATTCATATGGTCTCTGTTCTCTTCTTCTATCTCTGACCCATCTCACTACATCTTCCCCTTCGTATTGTTAACTTATATCTTCCTTTCGCCTATTATTGCCCGCAATATTCTTATTTTACTATTAATGGACATATGCTTGTTCCTCCAGATGATATCTCTCAGGAAGCTTGATATCAGGGTATCGGTCTTTTATATTTCTGTTGCTGGTAATGTTAGCTCTAAGGTATTTAAAGATTCACTCAAGAAGTAAGACTCAATGATCCCTATTTATCATTTTATGCACTAAATTGTCTCATGATAGGGAGACAAGCATAAAAAGGACTCTGTTGGGTTGGGTTAGGTATATTTCTGTTGCTGGTAATGTTAGCTCCAAGGTATTTAAAGATAATTAACTGTCTGGTTGTAGCTAACTTATAGCATCTCGGTTCTTTGGACATTGTGAGGAATTCATTTTTCTGTACAGATATGATCGTGTTAAAGCTTTCTGCCGTTTGCTCATGTTTCTCAGCATAGCATATGATTTTGACATAGTGATGATCCTATACTATGATCCTATCCGATAATGAGTATCCTTTGCCTGTGGCTTTGACTTCGTTAATTATTTATAAAAAAAACTTCACCTGCGCAAGCTGCTTGGTGGATTGAGTAGCTCAGTGGTTGATGCTGCCAGTACTAAGTCCGAATAAAGGAGGAGGGTTTACAAGTATGGTTAGCATCCTACCTCCAGTAAAAGAGACACAGTGCTCAACTGGACAAAAAAATGAATGTTTTAAATTTATTAACGATTTTCTTCTTTGAAGAAGTAAGGCGCAATGGTCCCTATTTGTAATTTTATGCATTAAATTGTCTCATGATAGTGAGACAAGCATAATGAGGACTTGGAGGATTGTTTTCACAGTAATAACTCAGGTTTTGCTGGACAACGAAACCAGATAAATGGAAATGAAGTGCTTCGGGAATACTTTTTCAAGGTTAAGACATCGCGGTATCTTCACTTTTTGATTTTAAATAGAAGTGAAGGTCCAGTAGTATGCTTTGATCTTGACATGACCTTGAAGTATGCTTTGATCTTGACTTCAAGATCTCTCCGAAGATGGAGAATTGGGGAAATCACCAGATCGATGTTCAGTTTACACTTAGAGTATGGAATGGTATGATTTCGTCTGGTTAAGCTGAAGCATAACAATTAATACCATATTAACCCAAACTTGCTCAATACATTGCAGCGCCTCGGTCGCAGCCGACCTTGGTTAAACATTAACCAAACAATTGCTGCTCGAAGTTGCTGATGTGATAGTAATTCAAAATTGATCAACACTATTGAAATATTACGAATTTTGGCAATTAATCAGAATCCAAAGTCCTTATTCTAAAAATTCTAATAAGATATAGCCTGTATTCGAATGATATGAACTTTTTAGTCGACTTCAACTTGAGTTTTTTGAGTTTAATTAGAATAATTGGTATTAAATATTAAAAATTGATTTATGTTTTAATTGAAACTAATAATATTCCTTTATCTTATTTGTTTTAGTTTTATTTTCCTTTAAAATAAATAACTGCTTAAATATTTGATAAAAAAGTTATTTACTTACCTGTTGCTCCACCCTGTAAAGTCTCGCTCCAACCGTCATAGGTTTCACATTTCCTACCCTATCAATCCCAGCCAAATAACTGCCAGGTTTTCCAAGAGTTTGATCCAGCCTTCGTTGCAATTCTTTTATCCTTACCATCATATTTAAATGACCTTGACTGTATTGTTCTATAACGTCCCTAACATCATAAGGTTTCCTTGCTTGTTGAAATTTTCTCCTTGCCACGAAGTATTTAATTTTTCTTATGGCCCTTATCGCGTTTTTATGGGCCTCAGTTAACCTATCAAACAAAGACCTTCGAAACATGTTAAAAACTAAACTCTCCTTATCTTACTGTGTCACCCTAGGAAGTTCCCCATCTAAATCGTCGATTTCGTCAGATGGAGCTTCTGTAACTGTACTTGTTTGGCTAGTAAATATAGCTCCTCTTATACTCTCCCTTTCGCCTCTTCTGACTCGGTTCGGCGTACCTAAAATCGCCAAAAGAATCAAGAAAAACAAACCTGGAGATGTGAAATATGCAAAACGGCTTTTGCAAACACGTGGGAAATTTAGCTGAAACTCCACGAGCACCGTTTACCTTCAAGCGTTTTCTACCCTTCAGTAGCAGACCCTTTTATAAATATTAATAATGAAAAAATTTCAACAAAATGGTATAAAACTTGTATGTATACGTTAATTGCTTTTATAGTTGAAACAAATTAAAATTTACTTTTATAATTATTTTTACCTGCTTTGGGTTCCTCCATATAAAAGACAACATCGGTGTCGTTATCGCCTTGGGGTGTCCTATTTGGGGGGACCTGCATCGGGGGATCTCCCTGAGGCGTTCCCGGGGCTTCCATTCTATTCCTGGATTTCCGTCGTTTGAGCACTGACGCCTTTTTGGCGACCTGCAATATTAGGGACTGACCCAACCCATGCAGACTTAACACCAAGACACCGAACACTGCATCTAAAATCTAACCTAAACAAGTCTTGAACAAATTTCAAACTCACTTCCAATTATGATTTATCGTTTCTATAAAATTCTATTACAACTTAGAAGTTAGTGAGGAAAAATGTTCATGTATCAAAGACACTTAAATGCTTAATAGCATGCACTTAAATTTAATATGTTATGTAAATTTGGTTTGAAAGGTGAAAAATTGGAAGATTAAAGGTGCTTCTCCATACAAGGATCCTTTGAGTGGTCACGTTCCGGTTAAGTGCACTTCAGTGATTTCAACAGGTACGGAATATGATCACTGCGCGCCCATTAATAATGATTCGATACATTTTCCAGACCATCTACTTGATTGGATCATTTAATTATCCATTAACCTAATCAATTTAGCGGTTTAAAAAGTATGAAATTTGGTTACGTCGGTTGTGTTGTTTCGAAATGAACTACTTCGAATGCAAACTAACATCCATGGATAAATTATGAACCCGTTTCGCTTCTCAACTTTATGTTTGCGTTTGCGAATATTGAAATTAGAGGATTACTCGATCCACCGAATAAATGTACACGTAACGAGGATTATGTTGGTGGAGAAGCACCTCAAGTAATATTAATGGCTTCTACCTTCATCTAGAAATATTTTCTACGTGATTTCTCATTTTTTTGAGACGAGATTGAAATAAAAGTTTAAATAAAAAATTGAAATGTGAAAAAGTTGTGGTTTTATTCAGGTTTCTTGAAAAAAAATGGGTGGAGTATTACTAATTAAGTGTCGACGAGAGGATGAATTCAAACGGCTAGGGAAATTCGAGGGAAATCCAGCATATTTTGGAGTATTTCCCTCGAGATTCCCTTATTATTAAATTGGTGGGGAACCAACACAGAAATAGTCGACTACAAAGAACACAAAGTTAAGTATAAAACCGATTTTATAAATTTTTAATAAACTAATACAAAATCAGTACTTAATAGCAAGCTAATTCCATGCAACTTAACTTAATTATATTTTCAAAAATAAAATTTAATTCATGCTAGAATTAATTGTTTTTATACTTTTCGTATCAATCTTGTTAAAAAGTGAACTTACCTTTGATAGAGGTAGATTGCTGTTATTGGAGCTGGATGGTTGTGTTGCTATCGCAGCGCAATTCGTATCTTTTAAGTACACCTGCCATGTTGCCGTGGAATTGAAGCTTTTATCCGCCGCGTAACATCTCCATAGACATTGGATCAACATCGCAGCCGCTGGAATTTGACGGTTAAAATGCTTCTGACGTTGTTTTTGTTGCACTTTTAATGCGAAACCAGAACCCAATATTCCCTTTAAATAAAATTAAAAATAAACCTAAATCTAAAAACAAAACAAAAAAAAACACAGATAAAAATCCAACTTTAATGTGTCACGGTGAATAAATGAAAGTACAATAGGCGAACGTTTTGACTGAATGCGTGCAGAAGTTGTGACCACAACAATAAAACGAGCGTTTGTATCCAACCCAGTTTTAATAATTTACAGGTATTTGTGTTTTGATGTTTGTTTGGGGTGTAAATATTTAGAGGAGAAATTTTTGTTTGGTAACCAACCATTAAAAGCAACCCTAATTTGTATAGAACAAATCTAGGGTTAACAATTTCCTTTGATTTTGGGAAATTTTGGTCGCTCTACCGGGAAATCGTTACCATTTGTAGAAGGTTATTTATATTTTTTATATTTATTTGTCTAAATTCAACATTAATTCATATAGAAATGAACCCACTCATTCCTTCCTTAAAAAGTCTAATTAAACTACATAAACCCGAAAAAAGCATAAGACCAATTATTAGTAATCATAACACTCCAACCAATAAAATATCAAAACTTCCTTTATAAACATTTTCACAATTTCACACACACAATCAAAAATTCTACGGATCTAATAAATAAACTAAAAAACTTCAATATTAAAAACCTTAGTAAACTAATTTCTTCCGACATAAAAAATTTATACTCTAACGTTCCAATCGATCAAATCGTCAAAAAATACTTGATCAGTTCACAGAATCATTGGTCTTTTGGAGATTGTATGTGGTCAGAACTTTTTTACCTTTAACAATAAATTTTACAAAATGAAAGACGGTTTGCCTATGGGCTCACCTATTTCAGGTATTCTTTCAGATATTTATGTTAATGAATTTGAAAAAGAACTATTTTCAGATAAAAACCATTTTTTCAATAAGGATATTGCTTTCTATGCCAGATACGTGGATGATNCTGCTTACAGTTTACTTACACTTATTCCTAACACCTATAGAAATATTTCAAACGAGTTGTTCAAAATTTTGTGTTATAATAGGGTTGTTAATGCTTTAATCTTAAAATTATACTTTAATCAAAATAGTCTCATTGTTCTGATCACAATTAAGAGATGCTTTAATATACTTTTTTATTTTTTAAAATGGTTATTTAAACAATTGGGTGTGATGCGATCTTATAAGATTGTATAAATGAAGCTCATAAGCACGTAATGGCACTAATTAAAGTTGAAACCCAACCTCGAAAATCTAACAAAGCAGAGCTCAATGAAAAGTGGAAAGTGTCAAATTCAACAAATTTAAAATAGTATATTTACACAAAACTTCAAATATTTCTGAATTTGACACTCTAGGACATTTCTATCTAAGTACCAGTTACATATTTCTTTTCGCTGGAGCAGAATATTTTTCTGGATATTTTAACTTGCAGACTTTTCAGGTTATTGTATTCTAAAATCCATTACGTAATTAACCGAGTTGTTATAAACTGACCGGCAAAAAAAACCGGCCACTATAAATTTGCCACAACTTCAAAGCTGGCTTTCTCTCGAACCGCGCATTCGATTTTGATGATTCTTTTTTTGATGGAAAGGTTGATTCTTCTGTAATAATCCTGCCATAGAAATTTTCGTTCAGATTTTCATTTGAGCATATACGGGGTGAGAAAAATGAGAAAAACTTTTATTCTCGAAATTTGTAACACCCTATGGGGTGCAGCTGCTACAGCAGAGGGTATTACCTGGAATCAAACAGTAGCCCAATCTTTTCTGAGCATTTTCTTTTTTTATTCACTCTATTATCTCTGTTACTAACGAAGATGCAGTATTTTAAAGCGATCGCCTGTGAAATCAAGATGAGTGACAATAGTAGCTGATGACCGTTTTATTGTTCTAAGCAATCGTAGAACGACAGCTGTAGAGGCTCGGCATCGTCTTCAAATGGTGCGTGTTGTTGATGTCAGTGAGAGAACCATTTGCTGAAAACTTGCTAGAACTGGTCTGGCTGCAAGAAGGCTGCCAAAGGGCCGCGGCTGCTTCCTAGATATCGACGTGCGCGTCTTCAATCTGCGCGCTTACATGTGAATTGGGAGATCGAGCAATGGAGGAATGAGTAGTGCAATGGAGGTCCTTTTTACGGATGAGTAGTGGTTTTGTCTACTATCACCCGATAGTCAGGAGCGAATATGAAGACGTTGAAATGAAAGATTTGTGGACTATACAATTATGAATCGCGAATGTTTCGATGGTGGTTCTGTGATGGTGTGGCCGGGAATTTCCAAAGAAGGCCTATACAGATTTTTAATCATTGTTAAAAGTGGCGCCTTAGAATGGCGCATTAGAAAATTGGCATTTTCTTAGAATTACAGAATTGTGTACGTCCTTCATTATTGTAAACATCTGTTCTCAGTTCT